GTTACATACGTAAGGTACAATGCGACACTAGGGGGTCAAGCGTGCCTAAATCCGAGGTGCAAGGCAAGGCACGCACCTGGGGCATGAGGCGCACAACAGAAAATTAAAAAAAACAATGACCACTAGTAATATTTTTTAGTGCGGATCCTCTGCAGTTCGTCCTGTTGACAGGACAGACTGTGGACCGTCAGATCAAAATGGACAGCCAAGATCAAACTCATTTTGGCCGTCCATTTTGATTGGACAGCTGGCAGTCCGTCCTGTCAACAGGACGAACTGTAGAGGATCCCAACTCAATATTTTTAAAATGCAAAACATAGTCGAATCGTTAGACTAGTAAATGAACTAATTAAAAAAGGATGAAATAAGTGATAGTTAAATGGATTTTGTAACCTATACACGAAATAAATCAAAGGTAAGAAGGAAAAAAATAAGAGATAGACTAAAGATAGACATTTATTTAATTATTTTACCTAAACTAATAATTTATTGTATGTGCTATTTAAACTTTTTCTTAAACTAATCCTTAATTTTATATTCTATTTAAACTTTTTTTTCTAAACAAATCTTTAATTTTAGGAGCTATTTAAGTCTTTCTTATCCAAAAATACCCTTTTATAAAATAATTTATTTTTTTAAGGACGGAATGGAAAGGAGTAATTATAAAAAAGTGAAGTGGAGTATGATATATCGAAGGAAAATAAATAACCTTGCTTATTTTGTGGTTAAAAATCATAAGGTTAAATTCTTAAAGTGACTAATTTTTTTACAAGAATACTCTTTTCTAAAATAATTTGCTTTCTTTAAGGAGGGAATAGAAGGGAAAGCCATAGACTCTGTTCTTTTTGACTTAATTTCAGCTTTAGTTTAATTAGATTCAACTCTGTTTTTAATTTATTGTTTTTAATTAATAAAACATAATAAAATTATTATTAAAGTTATAATTTGGTAATATAGATATTATTGTATATGATTATTAATTTTATATTATTTTATAATTTTTATTATATTTATAATAATTATTATAAAAAAATAAATCCTGTTCAGTTTAGTTCAGTTCAAAAGAACATAACTATAAGGGTCCAGTCCAGTGGTATGCCTCATAACTACCCCCAGCCAATAGCCTTAAAAGCTCTAAGTTAATTCCCAATGGAAAAAAAAAGGGAATGGAAAGGAGTAATAATAAGAAAGGAAGAAAGAAAAAATTGTAAAATTCTAAAATTTTAGGACCTGTTTATTTTAAGAAAATATGGTTGTTTTTCGAAGAAATTTTCTGAGAAAAATAGAAAATAGAAATTATTATTTAGTTAGGAACATTTTCTAAATAGGGAATTGAAAAATTATTTTCCAATTTATATTAGAGATGGAAAACATCTTTTATATGTTTTTCATTTTGAAAAACAAAGAACTATTATACCATTCCTTTCTTTTTTTTTTTTTTTTTTGAAAACACCCCAGGATGGGATGGGGGGTTGAGGCTGTACCCCCAACCTGTGAATATATAAAGGCCCCGAAGAGCTAAAAATCAAAGGTCTACATCCAAGTCGAGAATACAAGTCAAGAATACATATAGCAACAACAAACGCAGAGAATACCATTCCTTTCTTAATTTCTTCTCTTCTCTCTATACACCATTTAAAAAACAAAAAACTAAAAAATTAAAAAAATAAAAAAAATTAAAAAATAAAAATAGAAAATATTTTCTCAAACTAAACCGGCTATCCAAATTCCACCAATTCCATGGGACAAAAATCGGCTCCCTCTTCGCTAAGAAACTCAAATCCGTCCTTCACATCACAAAACCCTCAAATTTGATTCAGCTTACTTTCACCCTGCTCCCAAGTCTTTCACCTTCCTTAATCTCACCCCAAAACCAGAATGGAGGAAGTTAGTGAGTCGAATCGCTATTGTTTTCCTGCAGAGGAGGAAAAAATCCTTACATGGTGGGAAAAGATTCAAGCTTTCCATAAGGTGCAGCAACGCACAGAAGGGAAACC